TTTCTTTCCGTGGTGCTCTTACACTTCGCTCCCCATGCGTTCTTGGATGAAATTGGCACCTGCGGATGGATATGACGTTACCATCCAACGTTAGTGGGAACTCGTGATAACCGTACCTTTGTCACCAGTACCTTCGTTCTTTTCAAGGAATTATTGATTTTGTTGCATCGTTCCCCACGCGTCCACCGCCACCCCCAGCCGTCTGTTCGTTGGAAGAATTTGTGAAAAGCTTTCTTTTTGTACGCGTGGTATACTGCCCGGTATCGGCTATAACTGAAGAGACATAGGCTACGCAACGCGTCTCTGGTTCAGTCATCCTGACTAGTTTGTTTTGTCTAGAAGAGCGAGGCAGCCACTGGGCTGATGCCGACCCATATCACTCACAACCTTGCGACGGTGGAACGGTATTCAGACCGACGTTTGGTAAGCACGTCCCCCCCCCTCCTTGTCATGCATGTATGCACCTTAGACATACAAGATGTGACGATTTTATATTTAGCCCACCTCCTGTTCCACCTGCACCCCCATTATAACTTCCAAAAGCCCCAGCGCACTCTCCCCGCGGGTGCATCGTCATTTCTGTTGCGTTTGGGTTTTAATTTCTGTCGTGAGTTGCGTATATGCTAAATGGGGCAATAAGAATGAGTTGAGGAGAACGTGGATGGTTGGTGACTGGTGAGGCACCAAAAATCAAAGTCAAACTCGGGGCCCAAGTGCCGCACACAGCTCCATCTGGTCCTAATCCTGCGCGTCTTGGACATGGGTCTATGCTAAGGGGGACATTGCTGAGAAGAACATTGATGTTGGCTGACGGTATTGAGCCGAAGGTCCAAAATCAAATTCGGGGGCCGTGAACGAATGACGGGCGCAGGTGGAAGTTGAGCTTGGAGAGGCACGTATTGGAAATGGCTTTGAGTTCTTTCTGTAGAGGATGTGTTTAGCTTGAAGCTCGAAGTACCGCATGAGAACTCGCCTGTTTCATTGTCGGTTGTTCCCATCCAAGGCTGAACTTGCACCCGAGCATGAAGTTCTGGGAAGGGAGAGATGTAAGTGTGGGAGAGAGAGATCTGGGAAAGATACGTACCGTATGGTGCTGAAGAGGATCATGGATGACGAAAAAAACTTATGGCGAGGAGCACATGTTGAAATCGTTGGATGGAGGTGTACAATTCTGGGGTCGACTAGACATCAGTTTGCATGGATAGACGCGGAGGTATGTACATACTAGAATGATATATATAAAAGAACCTGAAGACACGGAGGAAGAGGAAAATTGAAGATCTAAATAAGGTAGATTGCGTTTTTGGTGAGGGACATGTGGAGGAATATTGCGGGTGGCGAGGATTTTGAGTGTTCGAGCAGCGAATTCGGATGGAGCCTGCGTCTCCCGGGTGACTCGGAGGTTGTCGGGTCATGTGACCAATGACGAAAAGTGAACGCTCGACCACAGTCACGAACAGTTTTCTCTTTGGTTCTCCTAGATCTATGCTAGAGCGCTGCTACATAGACTTTTTAAGCTTGCAGGGCATGATAGATAATTTGACGTTGGAAAAGTCACCTGGGAGGCTTGTGTCTACACTGTCGATGAAGCTAACCTCCTCGTCGCAAATCAGATCCTTACTAACTTCGACTGCGGATCTACCGGCGCAAGCACCATGACCACTACCACTATGAACGATACCACCGGCCTTGGCGCCAATATTACCCCGTTCAACTCTCTTATATGGATCTTACGGAGGGAGTGAACAAGAACACAAATGTTAACCTACAGCGGATGAAATCGGCAACGAGGCAGCAGGTCATAAGTGGGTAGCTTGTGCATCAGGCATCCTGAGGAGAGTTTCGGGATTCGTTCTTTTTGTTTTCTTTTGTGGGTGCTGATGCGTGGATAGTTATAGACAGACAGCAATTGCATGAGGCGGGGTTCATGAATGCGGTTAGTATGGCGGAGGTGGGTCGCAGTCCGATGAGTGTCGTTGAAAACGAGCAAAATGTCAAAAGAGAATAGTCGGATGGGTATTGTTGGATACGAGCGAAATGTTGAGAAAGTCATGGTGGGATTTCTTTTTTTATATTTCATGTTTCTATTTATTCGTCTCAAATTCTTAGTCTTAATGAATCGTCTGGAGTACAAAAAAGATCCCACTGCTGTGTGTGTATTGGCCTCTGCCTGGGTCGAACAGACTCGTCGCCTGGCAGAGTAGATATTTAGAACGCACACTGGATGTACAATGCCGCAATGTCTGCCGGAAGTCTATCTTTGACCTAATGCGAGTACGCTGATGGTTCGTTCACAGCCACTGTGACGAGAGAATCTGGCTACAGGTGTTCGTTTAAGGCCTAAATATGCCTTTTGCATCTGTTTCAAAGCCCTGGTGAGTTGCCGATCATACACTCTGAGTCATTTACCTTGTTCGTGATACTGTACGATGCACGACGTGAGTGGAGTGACCAGTTGAAAAATGCCATCTCTGCACTCATAGCATTAATTTTGGATTATGATCATCAGTATTCGTGGAGGCCCAATCAAAGATAATTCTGTGAGTTCCACGAGTAGACGATTTGGATCGATAGGCACTCTAGTCGGTGACTGCTTCATGTGGTTTTCTCCGAGTAGATTCTGTGTGCTTGTTGAGCGCTGGATAGCGGATGTGAGCGAGATGTAACGAGAAAGAACGAGATGGCTTAACCGAGAGCGTGGTTGAAAGATATGATGAAAGACATTGAGAGTGAGATAGCGAGGAAACTCACCTAGGAAGATTGTCGACAATCTATAATATACCACAATGCGGAATTACAACAATAGAAGGCAAGGAATTATAGTGTCCAAAGATGTCTTGTTCTGGAAACTGACTACATTATTGATGTTCGCATGCAACTGTACAATCTACCTCACCTCATTTCAAGTACGCGCGTGAATGGTCAGCTCCTTGTGATACCTGATCCGCATGAATAGGATACACACATAGGTTAACATCATTGTCTCTTAGGTTAGAGTACCAGAGGATAACAAGAAAAGTAGGTGTTGGTAGAAAGTCGACGCTCTGGAAACTGTGGTTCTAAATCAAGCAATAGCTCCGCAGCAGATTCCGGAACAAGCCGTCAAAATCACGCCTCTTATTTTCAACTTTGCCCTTTCACAATCAAAATCTTTTCTTTTTCTGACTCTACTCTCACCCAACGGCGACCAGGCCTATTATATAGTGCGAATCCTAAATGCAGGCATCAGATGACAGTGGACGCGTCTCACTGTTTCTTCTAGATGTTCTTATAGTCTCTGTTGTATGGCTCTGGCTTCTTACACTTGCTATGTGTGTTGCTCTGACTTGTATGTATCTCTGTTGAATCATCCTCTTTTGCCTTCTCAGCATGTATCTGATATCGTATCTGTACTGATAGATGGTATGCCGAAGACTGCTTACCCCTACCGATTATATTGTCTTGAAAGTGCACGCAAATTTTCCGTTTCACGTCTCGCGGGCAGTCTCGATTGATTCTATTCATTCAGCGGCTGACCGTTGTTCTCAAGTGTCCTAAATACATATTTTCATGTGAGTCGACCGATATTTGGCGTCATTTTTAGACCTTAAGAATTAAGATATCCTTTGTCGCATGATAACTCGTACGCACCTCATTTTTATGTCGAGGTCAATTTACTGACTATGAATTAGTTTACATGACCATATAAGTGAAATCTATCGACAAGTCTGTTGGCAGTAGTTGTCACAACAAGCACATTTTTCATCGACGACTTTTTTTTTGTGAGGGCGATGATCTCAGGACTTGGGTAAATATCTACCTTCCTTATTGATCCTCTATCGCTCTTGACTCTTGCGCAGTTACGGAAGAAGTGTTCGGACATCTGAAATGAACAGAAATCCTGCGAAGGAGTCAAAGCACCCTGACGTGGCTCGCACAACGTAATCATTCGTGGTCTGGTACCAGGATCGTGGACAGTTCTCGTCAGCTAGGAGCCCGGGCCCCTGTCACCATTCCTCCTGACTCCTCTGGATCAATCTCCGTGCTGTGACATCGTGAACGGACATATTGAATGAGCACGACAGCCTTGGTGGAGAAACTCAAAGAGTCGTCAGTGGGAGGAGATAAAATCAGCTCAAGGGAGACGGTTGAAGAAGAGGATGCGGTAATCGATTGTGTGCTGATATATATACTGGAACTAGCAGCCATTGTCACTTGTCACCTTGATGTTCGAAAATTTTCGATGCACCCCACAGACGTGAAGATTCCTTCAGCATCAATGAGCTCTTCAGGACAACTATCCTACAATGAAAATTCGAGCCAAGTACACATTCTACAGGCTTTAAGACTTATCGGCGATGGGGAAATCCCTTCCCGTGGCGCCCTTATACTTGGCGCGGATGGCATCCGAAATCTGCTCATCCTTTGCCTGTTCGAAGGCCGATTCGTTCGACTGCTGACCTCCTCCCATGCGCTGCTGGACGAAATCGACACCTGTGGACGATATAACGTTAGCATAAGACTTCAGTGAGCACTCGTTATGACCGTGCCTTTGTCGAGGAGGTCTGCCAACCATAATTCAATGTGTGTACACAAAGGTACACTGCGTACCTTCGTTCTTTTCACTGGCAGGACCACCGCCCATGGAACTATTGATCTTGTCCATCACCCCGCCGCTTCTACCACTGCTGGTTGTCTGGTCGCTGGAGGAGGATTTGTTCAAAACTTTCTTCAAGGAGTCCATCATGGTTTGAGTAAGAGATGCGTAGATGAAACCTTGTCAGGTGGCACGACCCAAAATGTCTTAGAAGCTATGGACAAGAAATGAGACATGTCCTTTCAGGAAAAAGCTCATGATTTTGTTTCTAGGCACACGGATGATCTGTCAATAACAATGAGGAATAAAATACAGTCTTCTTACTTCCTCTCAGCACCCATGAATTTATTGCAACACTTGTGAAACGGTAAACTAACTGAGGCCAGATAATTGCTGTAACGCTGTGCCCACCTCAAGGCGACATGGTGAGATGGCCGAGCGGTCTAAGGCGCCAGACTAAGGTTCATGCCCATATGCTGTGGCGTGCTGTCTAAATCTGGTCTCGTCGGGGGCGGGAGTTCGAATCTCCCTCTCATCATAAGAAGAAAGGCTGGGTGCTTTCCATTTTACATATTTATTATATGTAGCATTTATTATTTTCCACTATAAAAGTGCCCTTTGTTCAAGACCGTAATCTACTGTGATCTGCAGATATTTTGACATTCGCGCCCGTCGGCACCGTGCCTTTCAAATTCCGAATACTCCGTTCACCGCCAACCACCATCATGGTCCAGGCTCTGCAGTACGTTCCACGGATCCTGACGACAGCAGACTCGGTTGCTTACCCATAATACCATCATCAGCGCTTCTGAGCTAGATCCCGAATGGACGCGATTTGTGTGTATTATATTAGTAACACCCATGCTTGAACGTTCGACGTACCCGATGGCGATGTATTGCTTCGCTCTGGGGATCTTACAAGCTTATGACTTCTTAAAAAGTTTGAGAAAGTGATGGAATGGCTGTATGAGCTTCTGCGGAAGATGAAAATATGAATTTGGGTCTCTGTATATGCGTATCTGCGGGAAGCTGAATGGATAATCAGAATTATTACAGGAAACCATGATCTTATTCTTCATGAAGAGTGGTATCAGGAAGAACATTATCAGTGGCATGCAGCTGGGAAACATGCACGTCTTTGATTATGATTAGAGACACGTCATCGAATTTATTGTCGTATGATAGGAACATGCAAAAATGATTGATCTCCTTACTGGACTACGCGCACGAAAAGCAGGCATCGTGTATCTGCAAGATTCATTGTATACATTGCAGACAAAACCGCGAAGTCGATCGTGGAGTGTGTATGAGTCACTATACTCCTCCGGCGACCATTATGTGCTGACATATTGCTGAAAGTGGTTGCCGTTGTTTCACAATTGGGCCTTCAAAGGCTTCAACTACAATCGTGAACACTGAAGTCTTTCCATTCTAGATCTCCGTCCTTCTTTCCTTTTACTGAGGCCATCATCTTCAGCTCTCATATTGAAATTCCCCTCTACAGACATACTGTACGCTCTCACTCAATCCTTTGTCACGTTCTCACTCACCTTTCACAATTTCCCAGGTTGACACACGGCCCGCCCTGCTCGTATCCTTGATTGTACTCAATCGTTAGATTTCACCGGATGTATTGACCTTCGGAACTATCTACTCCGCCCTCAACCACGCATTCACGTCTTCAGCCATTTCCACGAGTGGCGAGGCGCTTATGTTCATGCATGGGAATCTGACGGCAACGAGTTACTTGAGGTGAAAGTTATCGACAACGATGAGGACGACGATGTGGAGGATCTCAATATCCGAGTAGAGGGTGAGGATGAAGTCTTCGCAGGAGACGATGAAGTTCTTCAAGATGACCATGTTGGTCACAATGATAATGGAACGCAACTGTCACCTGAGACGGTGTTCGTCAATGTGGCAACTTCTCCTGCGGGAAAGAGGACGTAGTGCGGAGCAGCGTGTCTTAGCCAGCAGGACAGGTTTCAAAGCTGTCATCATGGACCTGCAGGACTAGGGAGCATCTGCGAGAGGCTGGTGGTTTACCTTGCTGCCCCTGTCTCTACCGTCCCAGCTGTTGTCACTGACACATCGTTTGATGTACACTCCCGTCCACTTTTGGCTCTGCTTGTCAGGGGGGATATAAATGATATTTTCTCTCGTATACCCCACCATGCAAATCTGTGAGATAGAACAAAACCCTGTACCTTTCTCCCATAGCAGAGTTTGGGCAACACTTCACCCACTTTGAAAATCAGTGAGATTATCAGATCCTCAGCATTTATCTGACCATAGGGATGATTATCAAGTGCTTCGTCAAGTTGAAATACCCCCGTTGTTCAAATTTGGACATGTGTTGTTGACGTGTTGTTTGTTCGTGCGCGTGGTTGCGGTCACCTTGTGTCCTTTGCTGTCCACTTCAACCACTACATTCAAAGTCTCGTTGTTGCTTCTGGCAGATTGATTGTCAATTTTTAGTCCTTGGTTGTTGTATGATGTGTCGTCGTTATTCTCTGAACTCATGCTCTTCTTGTACTGTGTCAGTATCTCAGTCTAGACTGTTATGCGCAGTCGGCCCGTATATCATGTATATATCATCTGCCTTCCACGTATGGCAGGAATCAAAAACATACCGAATTCTGTGGGAGCCGCTATTCCTTCTTTGCATAACTCTACATATGTTTCACATCTGTTCTCGGACCATTGCAGGTGAATGGATGCGGTTTTCTGATGCATGACAATGAATGCTAACTTCATCAAAAGCTTTTGTTAAAAAACAGAACGCTTACCTCACCAGAAGCATTATGGGGTCTGGGTTACTTGCTCATAAAGCCCTCGTCCCAGCCTCAACCATCTACCCTGTGTGGATGCAACGGGAGGCTATACATGCCATCCCAGTGTTGGAACTTTATGAAGCGCCTATCTAGCCATCCCAGTATTGGAACCTTATGAAGCGCCTATCTAGCCTCAACAGCCTTCTTCTGTCCGAGTACGATGGACATATACAATCACTTTCCTATTACCTGCCACCTACAGAGTCACCTTCTCGTACCTCTTTAATCATAACTGTTGTGTCAGACAGTGCCTTAAAATTTTTCCCATCTTCACCACCTGGATCCCTGCCTAACTTGATATGGCGCATGATAGATGCGAAGGCTCGGGGCTTTAAAAGACCTCCATGCTCCCACTTGTCTTTGATAGTATCATCTCAATCCTTGCTTCTGACCCAACTACAATCTAACGTAATTCACGTAGACTGGTCTTGGTTAACCATGGCAGCCCCCTTCATCTATAAGCCACCATTCACTCCAGTTTACTATCCTCAGGAATTTGCCCATGTTCAGCAGGCACTCTACGACCATCACACTCCACGATCGAATTTCGCTTTTGATCCCGACTTACAATTTCATCGTCGCCCTTATCGCTACCAAGTACCACATCATGCCGCTTCGACTCCAGGTGGATATGCGCCTCCAGCAAGTTATGGCAGGTGGACTCCTCCCCCTCGGCATAGTCGATCAGTGCCCCTAGTGGATCGACTACAGTATCCCGGCGCCACCACTCCTTCAGTAATAATACCTTCAACACAGGAGAGCCATCAGCAGAAGATCTCTCTGGTCCTTTGTCGATCAATCCCTGGATTAACGTCGATTTTCCTCATCATCTATCTATCTTTGATCTCTCATTATCACGATACACACCGTATGTGTACCGTTATGGATGGCCAGTCAGTCTGTCACATGTGGAAATGATGCCTGCAACTCATCCCCCAAGAACTCGTATACAAATCCTCATTGATCCAATTCCACAATGGCCATGCGATGTGGTACCTCGTATTCCACGTGTTCTTCGAGCCGGCGTCATCGAACCCATCACACTCGGAGACGTATTTAGGAGCTTGTATAAACATCTTCATCAGCCTATTTTCTGGTCCGATTGGCACAGGTTGGGGTACGCCGGGCAGCTGACGGTGAACAAGGCATTCAGGAGGCGTTGCATGAGGAGCCCCGAATTGTTCGAAGAAGTAAAGAGCAAAGGCATTAAACGGGTGGATTTCCTGTCGACTAAGACAAAGATGATTGGTCTGTTGTGGCTGGGCCATAGGGATGGATGTGATGTTATGAAATTGGTTGTTGGCCACTAACGGAGAAAATAGAACATGCCGCTGCTTGAGGATATATCTATTCAATGATGCGCCCATCAAGAGTTGGTGCAATTTATTGGGCACCATGTCGTTCACAGAAGTTCAGCCTTGAGCAGTGAAACTCAGAAAATCGTAGCGGCTGATTAGATTTCCACGTTCGTTATAAAAAAAGAGTTGGAATAAACTGTTCCTTTTCATGTCAGCAATGATATCAATGGTGAAGTCTGGGACCTATACGTTTTGCCAAGACCATGTAGTCCAAAGCTCTAAGAGACAGTGCCTCTCTTCGCGATAACGTGGAACTGCAAGGGACGATAAAAATATGCAATGAGCATCAAACTCAGGGACTGACCGTGATGACTACAGCAACAGACACAATACTGATAACAGAACGATAAATAGTCGGTGATGGTACAAAATCGGTAGTTGAATTACACCTTGTAATCAGGCCAGTTTCTCTCAATAGAAGATCATTTCATACAAGGAGAGCGTTTCCGAATGAAGGTCACACACATTGTCCACATCATTAGGCGATTGATCAGATATGCGAGCCTGCCGGGAAAATCAGAAGACGTAGAAGCAACAAAGTCCAGAGCTTACTTTCTTGAATGAGACTTCAGAACTAGCTGCCTGATAAAGTAGCATAGTGATACTGCGATGAAAGCATCTACAAAAGCACCAACAGACACGGCGAGTGTGACGAGCCAGCAAGCAAAAGTGTTCAGTGCCTGATACAGGAGACTAGATAGCTCTCCATGACCAAAGCCAAACCGCCTCCGAAGCGAAGAAGGGAAATGGTCTAACAAATGAGACATATGAAGCGAAGAAGGGAAAGGGTCTAACAAAGGAGACATATGAACGGCTGACCTGACCGCCGATAAGTACGGTAAGCAAAGAAACTCTACCACCTTTGTCAGCTCCAACTCAAGGTCAACGAATCGGTTATTACCTGAACGAGTGCCGTTATAAGGATTTCGAAAACGACGCTTGTAGTAAGAGCGTAGGAATTGGGCGGGATGTTACTCGCTAGAGGTATATCAGAAGTGACTGACCACGATCTTGAGGAATAGGCGATCGTCGTGACATCTGGTGTATCAAGATACCAGACAATACAAGACTTATTACAAGCGCAAGCTCGAAAGACCCAAGATTGATACGTGCATAAACACCAAACTGACTCCTGGGGATTATCCTGGTGACAGCAAATCTTGTTTGGTATGGTCCCAGCAGGAACTAGCTCCTGAAGATAGACAATTAAAGAGGATGGAAAAGGGACTAGTTTCAAATCACCTGAGCGATCGTATGGCATCAATGCAACATGGTGTGTTTATCATCCAAATGGCATGAAGATAGATTTACTGCAATAGGTGTATGAACTAAATAGATATACTGTA